ACTAAAATATTCAAAAGTATTCACAACAAACAAAGGTGTAGTCTGATGACTCTGTTACGGGTGCTTTCACACCTAGACTTTTGTTTCGGAACATGTCTCGTTTGCCCAGTTAGCGTGGTTTGTTTGGCATATGTGAATCCAGCAGTCGCGCTCGGATCCGTGCCAAAACAATCGGTCTGAGATTGCCTGAATGAGGTGGTCTCGACTTGATTTAAATGAACTCTGGAGCGGATCCATTGTAGTAAGAAAGCGATACGATCCGAGCCCGGCTATATCACAGTGTTTTATGGATATGTAATAGGCATACGGCTATATAAAGACAGAATTATGAGTAGGGCGGGAGGTCATTCCAGACATCGCAAGTCTCCCGAAAGTCTCCCGCAAATGCACAGTGGACCCTCCCAGTCCACAAACACGTTGCGCACCCTTCTCAACCCTCCCCACCGAATCCCTCCTCGCTCCTTACGCCTGTTTCACACCGCAAGCGTCAACGGCGTGTGAGCAGCGCGTATGTCGAGCAGTAGCAGGACGCAGGCGTTTGCCTTTCACACCAGCTGCGTCTGCAGCGCGCAGCTCTTCGGCAGCTGCAGAGATCAACCTATCTCTGTCTATTCTATCTAGTTACCCATGTCTCTCTATATACAAATACACTTTTTAAACTTTTCATCTGCACCAAAGCCCCCCCTATGCTGTTTCTTTAACCTGCAAATGTTTATTTTACAAATTTTCTAGATCAAATAGTTCTGTATGCTTCTCAAGCTAACTTATATGAGAAGTGTCTAGTCAGAGGACAATCGCCTGTAATATCGTGTCATTTGTTTTTTGATTATCAGGTTGCTGTAGACCTAGTTATAATCATATTTATACAATATAGTTATAATGATATTTATACATGATCAAACTAGTGTTACTTTCTCCGCTTCAGTGATGTCCAGCGGCAGAATAACAGCTCATTAATTCATGCTCGTGCAGATGATGAGACGGACAAAAGTAACCAATACATGCCATTCTTTTACTTATTTTCGTGTTGTCGGATTCACAGTGCAAACAGTTCCCGGTAGGAATAACTCGAGTGAACATAAAACAAAGCCGATTAAAACTTTCTTCCTCTGCTCAGCTGCACAGAACACAGCGAGCTCACATAATCCAGCATGCGTGTCGAACTACACTACCCACAATACACTTCGCTATGGACTACAAATCCCGTAAATATTCTATTTCCCCTCTCCTACAACACTAGTGTGCAACTTAAGCAAAACTGATACTAAAATTGTTTTACATTTGGTTTTGTAGTTCGGGCCTAAATAAATGTTTGTTGCCATTTTTAATCGTTTTAAGTTCATTTGAATGACTATATATAAACCATTTGACATTATTAACGCATTTATTGGGTAAAACTGCTACTTTTTACTGTCATTCAATGTGTTTTGGTCATTATCAGTGCACTGTCACTTTAATTGAGCGTGAGCAGCGCGTCAAAAATAGACCCAGCGCCGAAACTATCGCTGCACTGCTGCTTCTGCGACGCTCACGCCTCGCTCTGACGCGCTGCTGCTGCGTGCGGTATGAAAGCTCTAATCTGTTAACATGGACGCCGAAAACACACGCTCTGCTCACGCGCCGCTGACGCTTGCAGTGTCAAACAGGCGTTAGTCTTCATACACCTTGCGCGCATCCTGTCAAACACCACCAAACCCCCAGCCCCCCTGACAGCAGAGCAGGACTCTTCAAAATAAACCGTGAAACTCTGACCAATGTGAAGAGAGTTTACTCACACATGACTTGTTTTAGCTCTTTTGGTCTGTTTAGAAACTTTGCCGTGTGAAAGTGAACCGCACCAAGAACAAAGAGCAACAATGAAGCAATTTAATCCCTGTTTTCGGAACAAATGAATCTGTTCACAGGTGTGAAAGCACCCTGAGTGCACCCTGAATCATGGGAGTTGTAGTCTTCATTATTCTACAGGACTTATGTTGATGAGTAAAGTTATTCAACACTATTAGTATTAACCATTCAGCACAGGAAAGCAGCAGAGCTTTTATTATGCCATAGTCCTACGCTTCTGGTTCTTTATTTTGTGATCACATGGAGAAGCAGCCCTTTTTTATCAGACTAAATACATGTTAAGCAGGTTGCACACCAGAAGCGCTGCTCTGCGGCGCGCCACGCAGCGCCATGCATTTTAGAATTCTAAGCATAGGTTTCTATCAGGATACACACACCGGCGCCGCAAGTCGGCGGCTGTCGGCGGCGCCCGGCCACTGCTCAGGACGCAGTCCCTTTTTCAGCTGCACCACAGAGCGCCATCTGATTAGTTTCATGTTAAATATCATTCTAATGTGCGTGTCTGGTGTGTGATACTTTAAACTGTCATGTTCGCGCCGTGTCGTGGCGCCGAGCGGCGCTTCTGGTGTGCGACCTGCTTTAGGCTTCTGTTATAATGCTGCTATGTGCAGTTGAATAAAACACACAACATATTAAAAACTCGCTGCTGTTTCCCTGTTTTCTAGAAAACCAAAGCAGAAATGTGTGTGATGACATTAGCATGAACACACAGCACACATTACATCTATCTTAATGTCAATATTCTACAAAAATTTGTGTGGATAATGTATGTACATAAGACAGCAAAATATATAACACTGTCCGAGTGGTTTTTGCATATTTTAATGAAAAATCATACATATTGTGCCTTTAAGTTCATACTAGCATTCCTTATCATATAAAAATGCAACTTTTCTTATGAAATGCTGTATATAATAGCAGTTTATGTGTGATTTTATCATGTACTGTAGATCATATGATAAATGTTGTTTCTCCAGAACTGTACTGAGTGAGAAAACAACCGTCCTCAAGCCAAAATCTCCAGAGAAGACCAAACCCGATGAAAAAGACCCTGAGAAATCTCCTGCCAAAAAACTTGAAGGTCATTAATTTTACTTTTCTGATTTCTGATTTTATGTGGAAATTATAAACACAAACCTCATATATGCTCATCTAAACGTAAAAGATGTTAAAGGGACAGTTAAATACTGAAAATTCCTCATCCGCCACTTGTTTAAAACCTGTTTGAGTTTCTTTCTTCTGTTTAGTCAGAATTATTAGCCCCCCTGTCTATTCTTTCCCCAATTTCTGTTTAACAGAGAGCAGATTTCTTCAATACATTTCTAAACATAATAGTTTTAATAACTCATTTCTAATAGCTGATCTATTTTATCTTTGCCATGATGACAGTAACTAATTTGTGACTAGATATTTAACTAGGCAGGTTTGGGTAATTAGGCAAGTTATTGTATAACGATGGTTTGTTCTGTAGACTATCAAGAATATATAGCTTAAAAGTGCTAATAATATTGACCTTAAAATGGTGTTTAAGAAAAAATAAAAACTGATTTTCACCTGATCCTTTGATAGTCCTCTTTGGTGTATCCCTTGAACCTGATTTGACAGTGCGTGACAGCAAGGTTCTTGCCTTTACCACAATTCTAGCCAGACGTGCCATACTTTTAAAATGAAAACACACTTCTTCCCCTACACATGACAAGTGGATACAGGACATTTTTTACTGTATCAGACTTGGAATGCTGAGATGCTCATTGCTCACTCTCTGGCTCATTAGATTCCTTTTATAAGATTTGGGATTCCTTTCTTGACTACATCAAAGGCCTGCCTATTACACCTGGTGCTGGCAACCTGTAACATTAACCATTTTATCAGAAAGTTTTAATTAATTTTATTATTATCATTTTTTGTATTTATTTAAATGCATTATTATTATTTTAATTATTATTATTTATCCCATCTGTATTCAGTTACTCTGATGTCATGTTCTAATGTATTTAATTTTCTTTTTTTGGTATTTATGTATTTATTGTTTTGTTGAGTTAATGAACGAGAGGTTAGGGGGTGGGATTAATAATGGACAATACATTACTGTTTACCTCTCAATATTTAATTTTTATTGTCATGCAAAAGACCAATAAAAAACTGAAATAACTAAAAAAAAGCTTTTATTCTAGCCAAAATAAAAACAAATAAGACTTTCTTCAGAAGAACAAATATTATCAGACATACTGTGAAAATTTCCTTGCTCTGTTAAACATCATTTAGGAAATATTTAAAAAAGAAAACAATAAATAAAAGAGGGCTTATGATTCTGACTTCAACTGTATGTGTCCAATAAAAATTTTCAGGAAGTCTCTCAATATCTAAATATACACTCCACTGCAAAGGCTAATAAAAACGTAAATATGACTAAAAATAAGACATGATTGTTGTCACACATAACTGGGCACATAACTACTGACATCTAAAGGTTGAACTGTGGTTTTGCAGGTGATTTAGTGTATTTCGAGCCTGAATTCATCAAATAATAATTAAGTACATAAAAAAAAATTATTATGTATACATATGTAAATGTATTCAAGTTAATTATAATAATAATTAATAATTATATAAATATAAATAAATAAATTGTTTTGCTTATGCTTATACTTCAGCTATATATACATAGCCCCCCTTTGATTTATTATTATTATATTATATAGTATTTCCCAAACGATGTTTAACAGAGCAAGGACATTTTCACAATAGCCTGATAATATTTTTTCTTCTGGAGAAAGTCTTATTTGTTTTATTTCAGCTAGAATAAAAGCAGATTTTAAGTTTTTTTTAAGGTCGAAATTATTAGCCCCTTTAAGCTTTATTTTTTTTGATAGTCTACACAACAAACCATCGTTATACAATAACTTGCCTAATTACCCTAACCTGCCTAGTTAACCTAATTAACCTAGTTAAGCCTTTAAATGTCACTTTAGCTGTATAGAAGTGTCTTAAAGAATATTTAGTCAAATATTATTTACTGTCATCATGGCAAAGATAAAATAAATTAGTTATTAGAAATGAGTTATTAAATCTGTTATGATTAGAAATGTGTTGAAATAATTTTCTCTCCGTTAAACAGAAATTGGTAAAAACAATAAACAGGGGGATTAATAATTCTGACATCAACTGTATACACATACATACATACATACATTATTTCTAAGTATATACAGAAGATTAATAAGGGATATGGTGTGAGAGGTGAATTTAGGAATTTTACACCCGTGAATATTATTATTTTATCAACTCTATTCAATCAAATATAAATCACTCTTGCAGGTAGGTTTAGTTCTGTGACCGAATATCTTCAGATAAGAAACTGTTCCGCACTCAATCCTTCATTAAATAAACTGAAGCAGCTGAGGAGACAAAGGTTTCTGCTAAAAGCTTCTGTAAACCAACAGAAACTGGTTATTTTTCAATAGATGTATATGTTAAAACTTTAAAAATACCAACACACACACAGAGAAAGTCAATGTTTTCAGATTATTTTATTGGTTTGACAAATGTTACATATGTATCTCCAAAGCATTTGTGATGTTTACATTAAATAGGACATATAAAAACAATTGACATAGTAGTGGTGGTTTTTCTAATAAATAATAATTAACAGCACATTAACAATCATCTGTGGGATAAAACAATAGTAATAAATAGTTTATCTAATAGTCAACAGATTAAGATTCATTTATAAACAATTTAAAATCCTGTTTGTGTGCGCACACACGCGCTCCCAGCTGATGGTTGCTTAGCAACGACAGTCATAGAATGTGTTCTAAAGTAGTTCTATGTTAGAACAGCTCATCTCAGTTTGCCAGCATTCAGGACGGTGACTTGGTAAATCACACAGTTACTGTACGAATTGACAAATCTGTGATTGTGAAGGACTCGTTCGCTATGGATTCTTACTATAATCAGTCTTCAGACAACCCTCATCACGAGTGGTCATCGGTTGTTCTGACTTTGGACCCAGATGTGGACGAACAAGAACTGATTGAGTCAATGAAACAGTTCAGCCAAATCCACTCTTTGGATTTTTCTTTTGATGAAGACACTAATTGCAGACACATTTATGTGACTTTTGAGCATTCAGGACGGGACCAGCAACCAGATCCTGTGGTCCCCACGAGCCGCTTTATTGAGCTGAAGACACTGCTCGTGAGCAATCTGCACCCAATGGTCACCGAACAACAGCTTATTGAAAAGTTTGGTGCATTGGGGTCCATCTCGACTGTGCAAGTGTGCAGAAACAACATCATCTCTCCTGCTTATGCCTTTGTGACTTTCCATCATCGACGTGATGCAGTGCGAGCACAAAAAGCTCTGAACTTCACTGATTTACTGAATAAACCTCTGATCATCATGTGGGGCCCAGACAAGACAATTGAGGTCCTCTCAGATAATGACAGCAGCTCTCCAAGACAAACAGAGGAGAGAGAGACAGCTGGAGAAACAGAGGAGAGAAAGACCAGTGAAGAAACAGAGAGAGAGGCCGCTGGAGATACAGAGGAGAGAAAAACCAGTGGAGAAACAGAGAGAGAGGCCGCTGGAGATACAGAGGAGAGAAAAACCAGTGGAGAAACAGAGAGAGAGGCCGCTGGAGATACAGAGGAGAGAAAGACCAGTGGAGAAACAGAGGAGAGAGCGAACAGCGAGTCTTTATGGGAAAGAAGGATCTCCAACAATGTGAAAAGTGCTGTGAAAGCTGCGGTGAGCAGTCCAGCAGCCTGGGTCGGAGTCGGCATAGGTGTCTGTGCTGCTTATGCCTACTTCAGGAGCAGGAGCTAGTGTGGACACATTCTAAAAGGTAATTTCATCTCATTTAAGTGACTAACATTCTGACTGAGCTTAGTAACACTTCTGGAACATGCTGTATGTCACACACACATATGTATATATAGAATTCTCTGTGGGTCAGAGGTCATGTTAATTCATACTCAAATTCAGCTTCATTTAGACATCGACACGGACTTTCTTGACTCTGTTCTCTTCCAGATGAGAAGGCCTGCCTCACGATCTCCACTCATCATCCCCAGAGTGACCAATCACTGCTCCAGAAAGAACTTGATTTCCCCAGCAGGCCAAACACTTGCAATAAATGTGAATTGAATAAACTGTCTTGTGTGTGTCTCATTCAGCAGTAAAGCTCAGCCTTGTAATTTATATCCATCCAAGAGAAGCATAATAGCACTTTGTTCCAGACACAGAAGTAAACGATAGGATTTTCTTCACATCTATTGATGTGTTAGACAATAACTTATAGACCGTATGAGAAGAAGGACTGCATCAAAGAACAATCAAATGTAGAATTATAAATCATTATTTCAATTATAATGTACAGTGGGTTTTAATAATGTCTGTACAGGAAGATATTCTGAAGAATGTCGGAAAAAAGCAGCTGTTGACTTCCATAATATTTTTCGTTCCTACTATTGTGGGTTTTTTCTGTACCACTTTATATTGTTGGTTAGATCATCTTTATTTTGAGTATTAGTAGACTGTCTGCTTAATATCTGCTGATTCTACTCCTTCAACAGACATTTAACTGACTATAAGAAACTTTGCAAGTGCATGTCAACTTACCCTAACCCCAACCCAACAGTCTAATGAAAATTAGTTGGCATGTACTGTAGATACAATGTAAATTAAATTCAACAAACTGACCATCAAAATAAAGTTTGGCTGTTTTTATTTTACAACATTCTTCAAAATATCTTCTTTTGTGTTCAACAGAAGAAATTCAAGGTTTGAGACCACTTGTGTGTGAGTGAATAAGTAAATGTTTATTTCTGTGTGAACTGTCCCTTAAACGCTGGCTTAAAATATGTGATTTGTTTAAGAAATTTGTGTGATTTGAAGTATATTGTATGATGTAGATATTGACTTGTTGCCATCTATTGGCCTGAAGTGATACGGTCTTAAAGGGGGCCTTTTATGCTAAATCACTTTTATAAGTGGTTTAAACAGTTGTGTGACAGCAGTGTGTGAATAACCAATGTGCAAATTACAGGGGGTTTGGGGAGGGTTTGACCCCCTCCAATAACGCTTGAAAGCCTCTGAAGGACTTTAAAACAAGATGTATGAGAGGTGGGTCAGCACGTTATTAGTAAGAAAATGCTTTCTCTGATCTATGTTCTTAATATTAATAATAAAAAAGTATAATGTAAATATAGATTTGAGCGGTTCATAGCATTATAAATGCATAATTGTGCCAATCAAAGCTAGGAAAATATCATTCAACAGTCTGAAAATAGCAGCTCTTGAGGACCAATACCATCTCAAGTATTCACAACACACATTTCTTGTAAAATACTGTAAGTGTTTATATCGGCATGTAGCCTAATAAAAAAAATAAAAATGGACACATAATTTGTATAGTTTGACCTACAGTAACCTCTAAAAGTCACTAAATATCCCTCAAAACACTGAAAACCTTTGCATTTTATTAATAAATTATATGTTATTTTAGGGTGAGGCAGTGGCACAGTAGGTAGAGCTATCGCCTCACAGCAAGAAGGTCGCTGGTTCAAACCTCGGCTCAGTTGGCGTTTCTGTGTTGAGTGTGCATGTTCTCCCTGCCTTCGCGTGGGTTTCCTCCGGGTGCTCTGGTTTCCCCCACAGTCCAAAGACATGCAGTTCAAGTGAATTGGGTAATCTGAATTCCCCGTAGTGTGTGAATGTGTGTGTGGATGTTTCCCAGAGATGGGTTGTGGCTGGAAGGGCATCCGCTGCGTAAAAACTTGCTGGATAAGTTGGCGGTTCGTTCAGCTGTGGCGACCCTGGATTAATAAAGGGACTAAGCCGACAAGAAAATGAAATTAAATGAAAAAATGAAATGTTATTTTCATACATTTAGTTCACTGAAGCATGTATTACCAAACTACTACCAAAAAGTTGGTACTACTACCCCCCACAGATGCACATGCATTGATTTCCTACATGTTAAGTGGAAATTACTTCAAAGTACATTGTAGTTCGTCATAAAAGCATGTTACTGTATACCACTGTAACCAGGCAACATATGAAAGTATAGATAGCTTAAAACACTCTTGTCAGCTAATCACATTTTAATTTTGTATTGAAACTTTTATTTAACTGCCGTTTGCTACATTTATATTCTATACTTATTAAGTATATTTTAATATATTAGCCGTTGAAGAAGTGTATTATCCCTGTGAAATATTTCTATAGTGCTTTTTAACAGAGCAAGGACATTTTTCATGATGTTTCTTGGTAAATATTTTTCTTCTGGAGAAAATCTTATTTGTCCTAGTTTAGCTGGGAAATAGGTCAATAATATTAGCCCCCCTATAATAAATATATATTTTAATTCCTTTCACTTATATAGCATTTTTCTGGACACTCAAAGTGCTTTACACACATTTTTGCTGGAATCTCCTCATGCAACGCCAGTGTGCAGCATCCATCTGGATGACTTGACGGCAGCCATATTGCGCATGAGCTGATTGGTGGAGAGGAGACAGATTAAGATTAAGCTAATTATAATATGGGGATGGTTAGGAGGCCAAATTTGGCCAGGATGTCAGGGTGAAACCCCAACTCTTTTTCGCAGGACATTTTTTTTCTCTTTTTCCTGGGATTTTTAACGACCACAAAGGATCAGGACCTCATTTTAACATCTAAGCAGTATAAAGACCCCGTCACTATACTGGGGCGTTAGGACCCACGCAAACCACAGATTAAGCACCACCCTACTGTTCTCACTAACATTACTTCCAGCAGCAACCTAGCTTTTCTATGTGGTCTCCCATCCAGGTACTGACCAAGCACAGCCCTGCTTAGCTTCAGTGGGCGACAATGTGAGAGCTGCCGGCTAGCTAGCTGTTTGATTGGCTACAGAATTTTAAGTTCAAGTTATACAACGACTTGTCTAATTGACCTAATTAACCTAGTTAAGCCTTTAAATGTCACTTTTAAGCTGAATACTACTATCTAGAGAAATAGCTAAGGAAATATTATCCACCGTCTCCATAGAATTATTAAAGAATTATGTATAAGAGTTGTTTTTGAAAAACTATTTCACAAATGGGCAAATGATTTTGTATTTAGTTGTATATTCCTTAGTAAGAGTCTAAAAGTAAGTGATTGAAAATAGGGTCGGTGTGCGCACATCCTACGAAAACTTCAAGCAGGCGCTCGATCAAATGTGTGAATGATCTGCTTTTATCTCGATGTTTCTCAACAGTGCCAGAAGAGAAGTTTTTGACGCTGGAAGGTTTCCACAAGTTTACTCTAGACAGAGCCAAGCAGGACATCCGCAGTGTTTGGCGGGCGATCCTGGCCTGTGGATATGACCTGCACTTTGACAGGTTTGCAGGTTTTAAAATGATCTTTGGCTTCACCACATCAGCGCTCACATCACATATATCACAGAAAAAACAGGCAACGCAAATACATTCAATATCATCACATAAACCACATTAAAAACTCAATTACTAATGAAATTCTAATGGCAGTCGGCACAAAGGACATTTGATACACAGTTTTCGTTACTTGGGGCAGTCTAATACATCTTTTTCTAGGCAAAAGCCTAGATCCATTGATTCCCGACATGCTCAAAAAGCCAGCAGAAAATGGAGCTTTGAGATGGACTTTGCATTGGTGCAGATTGTGAACCGTCTCAGCCGTCACAGGGCTCGAAATTGCGACCATTTTGGTCGCATATGCGCCCGAAAATTAATCGATGCGACCTCATAGTAAATTTGGGCGCATTAGTGCGACCTGTTTTGATTTTTTTTTTTTTTTAAACGTGCTGAATCGCTCTTCCCTGCCGCTATATTGGTTCATATTAGCTGTCAATCACCCAAGGCTTTTCACTGTTAGATGACAGGGAGGGAGCTTTTATGTCCACGGGAAATGCAAACGGCTAAAGAGTGAAAACTTAAAGCACGCAGGTTTGCAAAGTGCAAACCCCACCTAAAGTTGAGGCGCAGATGAGAGCGATCATGACACGTGGTGAATATTGATCAACCAGCTGAGATCAATCGAGTACGCGCTTCTCATGCTCCGATGCTCAACCTGCTCATAAATTGGGTCGGCTGACTCGCCTGCTTTTCCACAAACACAGAAAAATGAAAATCAGCTCAGACGGAACATTTAAATTGACACAAACTGAAACCAAAACTTTTAAAGAGTGATAGAAGTGAGACTTTACTTACTTTCTTTTGCCTATTCTTTCTTGAGGTGTATATTATTTTTTTTATTTAGTTACTGATGACTGCTTTGCAGCTTTCAGCCTTGAATTTAATATTTTATTATAATCTTTTGTTTGTTTTGCAGCAGAAATATTATTTAATTAACTGACATGCATATATATGCTGTTTAGCAGTACAAAATAAATATTTCTTACTGCAATGCTTCATTTTTGTTTGATGCAAACTATACATTTATTTTTCATAAAGTAACAGACTTTTTTATAGCAGATAACTTGCATTCAAGCACATTCAAGGCAGCATGATGATGAGAAATGTAATTCATTGTTACTGTTATTGTCATTTTCATTATCATTAATATTCTAGAATTATAATACATACACATTTTGGAATTATTGCACACAAATATCAATGTCATCTCAGCATTAGATAGTTGTTTCTGGTTTTTGTTAGTCCTAATTGATGTTGTTTTAAAATACAATAAGTCCCTTAAAATACAATTTGCAGCGGTGCTCAATCATTTTTGGTGGGTGCTCCTAAATTTTTTCTGGTGCTCCTAAATTTTTGAAGTTGGGAGCACCGGTGCTACCAAATTAAAAAGTTAATTTCGAGCCCTGCGTCACCTGGCCATCACTCCTGCCCGTCTGCATCCACATGAGGTTTACCTGGTCGCCAGCAAAAATGGCGCCGATCCTGAGGTTGCGTGTCTGTTAAGCAAGTCCATCTCTGTGTTATCTTGTTCACAGATGAAGAGTTCAGATGCAAAAGCCTCTCAAGGGCTGTCTATTATTATTATTATTATTATTATTGTTATTATTATTATTGTTATTTTATACAGTTGAAGTCAGAATTATTAACCCCCCTGTATATTTTTCCTGCAATTTCTGTTTAAGGGAGAGAAGATTATTCCAACACATTTATAATCATAATAGATTTAATAAC